AAGATGTAGGCAGGGCAGTAAGGCAAGAAAGGGAAACCAAAGGCATCCAAACCAGTAAGAAAGAAGTCAAACTATTCCTGTTTGCTGATGATATGATCCTATACCTAGAAAACCCAAAAGATTAAGCAAAAAAACAACTGGAACTAATTGAGAGATTTAACATAGTGTCAGGATACAAGATCAACATCCAAAAATCAGTTGGATTCCTTTACACCAGCAAAGAGATTGCTGAAAAAGAAATAAAAAAATCAATACCATTTACAATAGCTACCAAAAAAATTAAATACTTGGGAATAAATCTTACCAGGGACACAAAATACCTGTACAAAGAAAAAACTACAAAACACTACTTCAAGAAACCATGAGAGATCTACATAAATGGAAGAACAGACCATGTTTGTGTATAGGAAGATTGAACATTTCGAAAATGTCAATTCTACCCAAAGCAATCTATACATTCAATGCAATTCCAATGCAGATCCCATCAGCATTCTTTAAGGATATGGAAAAAACAATCACTAACTTTATACAGAAAGGAAAGAGGCCTCAGATAAGCAAAGCACTACTGAAGAAGAACAAAGTAGGAGGTCTCACACTCCCAGATCTCAAAACCTACTATACAGTCATAGTAGTCGTAACTGCCTGGTTTTGTCTATGTGTCAACAACAGACACAGACCAATGGAATAGAATTGAGAATCCAGAAATAGATCCATTGACCGACCTATGGTCAGCTGATCTTTAACAAAGGGCTGGAATCCATTAAATGGGGAAGAGATTGTCTGTTTAACAAATGGTGCTGGGAAAACTGGATATCCATTTGTAGAAAAATGACACAAGATCCGTACCACACACCATACACAAAAGTTAACTCCAGATGGATCAAAGACTTAAATGTGAAACCTAAAACTATAAAATTCCTCAAGGAAAAACTAGGGGCAAATTTAATCTACTTCCGCAGTGATACCGCATCAGAAACCCAAGGAGGTGTTGCTATGAGTCGGATCTGACTCATCGGCAGTGAGTGTGATTTACTTTCTAATATATGGCATAAACAGAGTATCAAGCCTAACCCCAAGTGCACAATCAGCAGAAGAGAAACTAGATAAATGGGACTTTCTAAAAATTAAAATTTTATTTGCTTCCAAAGACTTCTCCAAAAGAGTCAAAAGAGAACCTACAGACTCAGAAAAAATATTTGGCAATGACATATTTGACAAGGGACTCAACTCTCTAAAATTTATAGAAAATTCCAACACCTCAGGAACAAAAGACAAATAGTCCAATTTAACTATGGGCAGAAGACAGGAATAGATACTTCACCAAAGAGAATATTCACATGGCCAACACGCATAGGAAGAAATGCTCATGATCATTAGCCATTAGAAAGATACAAATCAGAACAACAATGGATACCATCTTGCCCCAGCACTAGTAGTAATGTTCAACAAGCCAGAAAATAACAACTACCAGCGAGGATGTGGAGAGATTCGAACTCTCAAACACTGCTGGTGGGACTGTCAAATGGTACAGCTACCTTGGAAAGCAGTATGGTAATGCCTTACAAAGCTGGAATTAGAAATACTATTTGACCCAGCAATCCCATTACTAGGTACATATCCTAGAGAATTGAAAGCCAGGACAAGAACAAATACATGCACACTATGTTCATCGCAACACTATTTACAATAGCCAAAAGATGGGAACAACCTAGGTACCCATCAACAGAAGAATGGATACCCAAACTATGGTACATACACACAACGGAATACTATGCAACCCTAAAGAATAATATAAAATCTGTAAAACACTGCATAACATGGATGAAGTTGGAGGACATTATGCTGAGTGAAATAAGTCAATCATAGAAGGACAAATATTGTGTTAGTCCAGTATTGTGAAAAGTCAAGGTTTATATATGGAACGAAACTTTCTTTGGTTACCAGGGGTCAGAGGGGATGGGAGGGAACACTGCTAGATAGGTAGAGATGAGTATTGATTTGGGTGAACGGAAGGGCAATGCACCAAATCTGAATGATCAATACAGTGGTATTGAGTAAGAGGAAGACAGAGAGAGGTACATAGGAGATAAAGACAACAAAGATGAACCCTTTTGCACATACAGTACAGCATTGTCAGTGATGGCAATCACTGATCTAGGGTGGATAGATGAGTGGACAGACTGAATGATCAGGTTTATCTAGGCAGGGGGAATTTGCCCATGACCATGTATAGGGTTGGCAGAAGACATATCTACAAGGATGTGTATATGTTCTGTAAAAATGTCCAGGTATATAGTAGAGCTGACAAGGGACAAGGTTGTGGTGACTTCTTGGCCACAGCCAGCTAACTGGAGTGAGTGAGTAGTTGGACCTATGGGCCCAGGACCATGGTTGCAAGGGACATCAAGCACAATTGGCATAACAAACAAAAAACCAAACTCACTGCCATCGAGTTTCATCCGACTCACAGTGACCCCTCCTTGGGTTTCCAAGGCAGTATCTACAGAAGTAGATTGCCCAATCTTCCTTCTGAGGAGTGGCTGGTGGGTTTGAACCAAAAACCTTCTGGTTAGCAGTCAAATGCCTTAGGCACTATGCCACCAGAGCTCCCATTGGCATAACATACTATACAAAAACATTGTTCCACATCCTATTTTGCTGAGTAGCAACTGAGATCTTAAAAGCTTGCAAGCAGCCACCTAGATGTAATGATGGGTCTCTTGTTGTCCAGAGCAAAGAAGAAGAAGAAAACCAAGGACACATGGAAACAATTAGTCTAAGGGAGTGGTACACCATGTGATCCTCAGCCTATAACCATGAGACCAGAAGAACTAGATGGTGCCTGGCTACTACTGTCAACCACTCAGAAGGGGAATCTGTGTAGGAGATTCTGGATAGATAGGGAGAACAATGTGGAACAAAACTCAAAATCATTAAAAAAAAAAAAAAAAAAAGGACCAGTTTTGCTGGTCTGATAGAGCCTTGTGGAACCCTAGCTGCCCTCAGGCCTGGAATTGAAGGCACTCCTGTGGCTTCCAGCCAAACAAGACAGGTATATGGGCTGAATGAACATTTACATTAGGTAGATACACTCCTTGGAGATATCAATCATGGGAGAATAGAAGGGCTGTGTGTGCACAGGGTGACAGCTCGGAGGGCAGGAGTGCCTAGGAGGGAAGGACACACCCAAGAGGTGGCTATGCAGAGGAAGTGGGAGGAGAACTGTTACATTGTGGGAAATTGCAGTCAATGTCATAGACAAAATGTTATGAACTGTTGTATGGAAAATTAATTTGTTCTGTAAACTTTCACCCAAATCATAATAAACTTTTTTATAAAAATCATGTTTCCTTTCTTAAAGGGAGTTAAGTGTATAGTTTCTCCATTAAACAGGATGCTTCTTGTATGATTTAGGTTTTTAGGTTTTATTAAATCAAGGAAATTCCTTATATTCCTGATTTTTAAAAAGTGTTTATCAAATATCTTTTTTGTCACACATTAAGACAACAATCTGGACATTTGGTGGGCCACGTTGCTTTCTTTCAGACCACCGAGGCCTCATTCAATGCCGTGTGACTACGTATTAAAAAAAAAAAAAACAACTGTGTAGTAGGCTATGATTCATTGTGCTACTAGTAAGGCTGTGGGACTTTCAGAAATGTTAGAAACAACCAGTTGCTGTTGAGTTGACATTTTATTTAGCAGCTGAATGCATTAATTTGCACCACCAAGGACTCCAGGAATATTAGAAGGATAATCGTAACATATCCAAAGGGGATGTGATTATTATGGATGAGGAAACTGAGGTACAGAGTAGTTCAGTAACTTACTCAGGACTACACAGCTACTGAGTGATGGCCCTGGGTTTAGACCTCAGGTAGCCTGGCTCCAGAGCCCACTCTGCTGTAACATTCCACTCTAACAGTTAACATTTAACACCCCATGTCAAAAAAGCAGTCTGTCTGAAGTGTAAGTTTGTATCACTGAACAGCTGAGAGCCTGAAGAGAAGTTTTCTTACTAAAAATTAGCATGACTTATACATGCTCCCAGTATCTCTTTGATATGTTTGTTGTTGTTATGTGCCGTCGAGTTGGACCCGACTCATAGCGACCCCTCCTTGGGTGTCTGAGGCAGTATCACTACCGAAGTAGATTGCCCCATCTTTCTTCCTCCGAGTGGCTGGTGGATTTGAACCACCAGCCTTCTGGTTAGCAGTCAAGTGCCTTAGCCACTATGCTACCAGAGCTCCCTTGATATGGTTAGAAATGTGTATAAAATATTTTGGATCTAAGTGACTATGTTGTTGTTGTTATGATGTGCTGTCGAGTCAAACCCGACTATAATAAGTTGGTATGTTGTTTTGTTTGAAGATCAACATTGACTCAGTGCCATAAATTCTAAGTCTGGTGGTCATTCCATGGACCTTTCCATCTAACACTAGCAACAATTGCCAAACATTAATTACATGTTAGTTACTGTTCCAATGTTACACACATTAGTGCAAGGTTTCTCAACCTGGGCAGTATTGACATTTGGAGGCTGAAAATTCCTTGTTGTAGGGACTATCCTGTGCATTGCAGGATGTTTAGCAGTATCGTGGCCTCTACACATTAGATGCCAGTAGCACCCCTTCCCTACTCTGACAACCAAAACTGTCTCCAGACATTGTCAAATGCCCACTGGGGAGGATTACTCTGATTTAGAATCACTACATTAGTGCATTTATTTCTTCAAAAAACCTTAAGAGTTAACTATTCTTGTTATCATTTCCATTTTGTCAATGAGGAAATGAAGCTTACATAAAAATTAAGTAACTTTCCTGAAGTTATAACCCTGATGTATGTTGCATCTGGGATCAAATCCAAGTATCTGACTTTAAGCTTAACTCTGAAACTTTGCTGCCTTCCAACTACCTATAGATCTAAAGGAACCGTTTACTGTATGATCCCTTGCGCCCTCAGAAATTCTGAAAAATATCTTTTTGTCCTGATTCCTGCAGATACTGGGATCTGAAAACTGGGATTTGCATACGAATCTTTAATGGTCACCAGGGGACAATCACTTGCATGGATTTACATAAGAATCGACTCGCATCTGGAGCGAGAGATTGCCAGGTGAAAGGTGAGAAAGAAATGCCTTAAACTTTCTAAGAAGTTTTCACAAATCCATGAGCTTCCAAAATGTTCATGGGCTTTGCTCATTTCTAGAGGCAATAATTCATTCTATTCATTCATCCATCAATTCATCAATTCATTCAATCACTGCTAGATGTTGAGGAGGAAAAAAGTAAATATGATGTGGCTCTTTAGATAAACCAAAAACCAAACACACTGCCGTTGAGTCGGTGCTGATTCACAGAGACCCCTCCTTGGGTTTCCAAGGCAGTATCTCTATGGAAGTAGATTGCCCAGTCTTCCTTCCGAGGAGTGGCTGGTGGGTTTGAACTGCTAGTCTTCTGGTTAGTCGCCAAATGCGTTAGGCACTACACCACCAGAGCTCATTAGATAGGACATTTTATTTCCTCAAGAGGCTCATAGTCTTCTAATATAGAGAGAAAAGCAAATATATAATAGGGGATGTAATAACTTTATGAATGATAACACCTGCCAATTATTAAATACTTATTTCATAACAACCACTGTGATAGGTGCTTTGCATATGTTAACTTTTTCAACCCTCACAAGAAATAAGGTGAATGCAGAGGAATCTGTTGCCAATGACTAAATTTCAACTCACAGTGACCATACATGGAAGCAACTCACAGTGACCATACATGGAAGCAGACTGCCACATATTTATCCTGAGGAGTGGCTGGTGGGTTCAAACCATAGACTTTTTTAAAAAAATTTATTTTTATTGTGATTTGGGTGAAAGTTTACAGAGTAAATTCACTTTCCATACAGCAGCTCACATACCTTGTCTCATAACGTTGGCTGCAATTTACCACAACGCAGCAGCTCCCCTCTCACTTCCTCCCCATAGTTACCTCTTTCCTGTGTCCTTCCCTCCCATTCACTCCTGCTACCCACGCCCCAGCTGTCTCCCTGTGCATACACAGCCCTTCTTCTATTCTTCCATGATTGATCTCTCCAGGGAGTGTATCTACCTAATGTAAATGTTCCAGACCTGAAGGGCAGCTAGGGGCCATAGTTTCAGTGGTTCCACCAGGCTTTATCAGACCAGCAAAACTGGTCCATTTTTTTTTCTTTTTTTTAAATGATTTTGAGTTTTGTTCCACATTGTTCTCCCTCTCTATCCAGGATCTCCTACACAGATCCCCCTCTGAGTGGTTGACAGTGGTAGCAGGGCACCATCTAGTTCTTCTAGTCTCATAGTCGTATAGGATGAGGATTGCATGGTGTACCAGTTGCTTGGACTGTTTCCATGCATCTTTGGTTTTCTTCATTCTTCTTTGCTCTGGATGAGGAAAGACTCATCACTGCATTTAGATGGCTGCTTGCAAGCTTTTAAGATCCCAGTAGCTCCTCCCCAAAGTAGGAGGTGGAACAATGTTTTGTGTAGTGTGTTATGCCAATTGAGCTTGATGTCCCCTGAGACTATGGTCCCGAGCCCATCAGTCCATCTACTCGCTCCCTCTAGGTAGCTGGCTGTGGCCAAAAAGTGACTACAACCTTGTCCCTTGTCAGCTCTACTATATACCTGGGAATTGTTACAGAACACACAAATATACTTGTAGAAACATTGTCTGCCAACCCTATACGTGGTCATGGGTACACTCCTTACTGCATAGACATACCTAATCATTCAGCTTGTCTACCCATCTATCCACCAGTAGATCAATATTTGCCTTCACTGACAATGCAGTATTGTATGTGCAAAAGGGTTCATCTTTGTTGTCTGTACCTCCCATACACCTCTATATGTCTTCCTTTTCCTCAGTGCCATCATGTTGATCATTAACATTTGGTACATTGCCCTTCCCTTCACCCAAATCAATACTTTTCTCTACCTATCTAACAGAGTTTCCTCTCCTGCCCTCCCAACCCTGGTAACTAACAAATTAAGTTTCATTCCATATATAAACCTTTCCTTGACTTTTCACAATAGCAGACTAATACAATATTTGTCCTGTGACTGATTTTTTTCACTCAGCATAATGTCCTCCAAGTTCTTCCACATTATGCCATGTTCTGCAGATTCTACATTATTCTTTAGGGTTGCATAGTATTCCATTGTGTGTATGTATCATAGTTTGGTTTCCATTCTCCTGTTGATGGGTACCTAGGTTGTTTCCATCTTTTTGCTATTGTAAATAGTGCTGTAATGAACATGGGTGTGCATATATCTGTTCTTGTCCTGGATCTCACTTCTTTAAGATATATACCTAGTAATGGGATTGCTAAGTCAAATGGTATTTCTAATTCTAGCTTTGTTAAGGAATCACCATACTTCTTTCCACAGTGGTTGGATCATTGTACAATCCAACCAGTAGTGTATGAGAGTTTGAATCTCTCCACATCCTCTCCAGCAGTTGTTATTTTCTGTCTTGTTGAACTTTGTTACTAGTGCTGGGGCAAAAATCATTGTTGTTCTGATTTGCATCTCTCTAATGGCTAATGATTGTGAGCATTTCTTCATATGTATGTTGACCACATGAATATCCTCTTTGGTGAAGTGTCTATTCATGTCTTCTGCCCATATTTTAATTGGATTATTTGTCTTTTTGTTCTTGAGGTGTTGGAATTTTCTATAAATTTTAGAGTTGAGTCCCTTGTCAGATATGGCATTGCCAAATATTTTTTTCCAAACTGTAGGCTTTCTTTTGACTCTTTTGGAGAAGTCTTTGGAAGCAAATAAAAATTTAGTTTTTAGAAGGTCCCATTCATCTAGGGCAGATAGGACCCACCCCCAGTGGCAGGAAAGGGAAGGAATACCGGGGATGACAAAAGTGGCAGGATCCAGGTAGGAATCAGGTAA